TGCGCATGGCACGTTGCGTACCTCCGCCCAGCAACCGGCCTGCAGGCAGCGCGGCCACTAAGCGGAGGAGGCGGAGTCGAGGCCGGTCGGAGCTGCGAGCTAACTGCACAACCAGGTACCGGGTGAGCTGCCCGGAGCCCCTCCCGCGCCGACGCCGGGGCCATCTCCTCGGTGGCGGGCCTTCGTCAGAGCGGCCCTCCCCGCTGGCGCTCGCCCTGCCAGGCGCCTTCAACCCGCATCCTGGGCGGCCAGGGGCCCCGCTGCGGGCGGAGTCGGAATAGGCTTGGGCCTGGCGGGGAGAGCGGGAGCCGAGCTGCAGGCGCGAGGCGCGCTCCCGCCCTCCTTCCCGACCCCTCCCCGGGTGCAGAGCCGGGGGCCGGGTGTCATTTTGTCCCGCCCCCGCAAAGTCGCGGCGGGTCCTAGCGCCGATCTCTCCGCCCGCCACAGCCACCTCTGGGCCGCGGCCCCGCGAGGACGCGAGAGCCGGGCGACTCCTCGAAAGGGCCAAAACGGAGAGCTCTTAAATTGTCTTCTCGTTTCCTAAATGTCCGCAGGCGAGTGCACGTGAGAGAGGTGGTTAAATTGTTGATAGGCTTCCGGAAGTGGAGAACTAACCTCTCTGCCCAGCCCTTGGCGAAGATTCCTGCAGACTTTTAACTTGACCTCCAACCACTCAAGAAAACCCAGTGGAGCCGGGCCTGGTGGCGCACGCCTGTAATCCCAGCACTTGGGAGGCTGAGACAGGAGGATCGTTGCGAGTTCGAGACCAGCTTGGGCTACAAAGTGAGTTCAAGGCCAACCCGAACTGCACAGTGAGACCCTGTCTCAAAATGACAAAAAAAAAAAAAAAAAAAAGGAAACCCGGTGGAGTTGGTCCTCTTCTTATTGTACTGTCTGTTGAAATAGAACCACGTTCCAGTATGTAGATGGTTCTTCATAGGGCGATTCATAGTTTCTAGAGACACGCAATATTTTTTGGTTTGCTTTTTTTTTTCTTTTCTCTTTTCTTTTGAGACAGGATCTTACACAGGCTGATCCTGAACTCGCTGTGTAGCACAGATTGGCCTGCAGCCCGAACGCTGGAATTACGGGTGTGCTCCACCCCACTCCGCCCAAAACTGTTCCTGGTCCCTAGAGTTGATGGCAAAACCAAATTTGATGAGCTGCCTCAAGCCAGGAGCCTGTCATCAGTTAGTTACAAGGCTGAGCTGGTCAGATCTGTTACCCACACAGCAGCCAGGTATTTTGGCTCAAATTCAGTGTTTGTTTGTAGTTGTGACTCCAGACATGGAGGAAGTTTGGAGAATAAGTGATAAAATGGAAAGGAGGACGTTTAAGCCAAGCAGGTTCTTTCTTTACCATTTGACACTTGGTCGGCCACATTTGCTAATCACGTGATGTCTTCTCATTTTATCTTTTGCCCACCCAGACTTAAGACTTCTCTCTAGGCTTTTTCTCTGTTGTCATTGTGGAACAATCGCTAAATCATTCTGGAAATCTGACTTTGGAAAAGGTTTAATCAGTCTTTACCCCTTCTTTGTGTGACTTTGTATAACTTCCCGAAATTTTACTTTCTTGAGCTGTACAGTGGAGGGTGAGACTGGGCATGGTGGCACACGCTGTAAAGTCCAACGTTTGGGAAGCTGAGGTGGGAAGATACCACGTATCTGAGGCCAGCTTGGGCTACGGAGTGACTGCAAGGCCAGCCTGAACTACATAGTAAGATCCTGTCTCAAAAAAAAAAAAAAAAAAAAAAAAAAGAGGAGAGCCGATCTCTATGGTTTGCTTAGTCTGGGAACATACATAGTAAGTTTGCCATAAATGTTGGCTTGTTTTATTATTCTTACTAATTTAATCTCCCCGGGGCACAGTAGCCCCTGAGGATGCAGCAATGAGTAGGATTCATTCTTTGCCTTTGTAAAATCATTATACCAGTGGAAGAATTCATCAGGCACTTAAGAATGTGTTAGGTGTGGGAGTTAAATGAGTTGGGGAGGAGCGATCAGTCGCTCCTACAGCTTTGGCTGCTGAAATCCGAGGCCACCCATAACCTCTCTCAAGTGTGGTCTCTGGGTGCTGTTTCCTTCTGGAATATACATCTTCTAATCTCTGTATGATTTAAGTACGTGCGCATCTTTCCACCAAAGCGACTTCAGTTCTTTGCTCTCCTGTTTCTGTCATTGATACACTATTCTGTCCCTGAGCACTGGGACGCAAACAAATTGGAATCAAACAAATTGGAATCGTTCGTTAGTTGTCCACAGGTAGAATGGGCTCCCTGATAAGGTAGTAAATGTCTGGCGTGGGACGTTTTCAAGTAGAGGTTTAAAAACCCTGTATCAGGGGCTGGGGATTTAGCTCAGCGGCACAGCACCTGCCTGGCAAGCGCGAGGTCGTGAGTTCGATTCCCGCTCCCGGAAAAAAAAAACCAAAAAAATAAATAAAAAACCCTGTATCCATGAGTTTGTAAGAGGTGCTCTTCAAAGAGTGGGGAGTGGGCTAGATGACTTCTAGTGTCCTTTTTCAGGGCTTTATAGAGGACTTTTTTTACTCTTCCTTGTCCCTGATGTAGCTGTTTCTTAATGCGCCCAATGCCGTAGGCTTCTATCAGCACGAATATAGTCTGCTGTAATTGTTCTCTAACTGGTGTTCCTTCCTCGCAGTCCTCTTCCCCATTCCCTTGCAGAGGAACATTACTTAGAATACTTCTTGGAACAAGACTTCTCAAATGATAATGTTCACATATCAGCAGCATTACCACCTAGGAGAGTGGAAGAATGAGCAAGCTCCATTTAGATTTTCTGCATCTTAACAAGATCCTCAAGTGACCTGCATGCACAGTAAAATTTGAGAGACCCTGTCTTAGACCACTGTTGTATGTGTATCCTTTTTCTGTTCAAAATCTATAGTGACTTTCTCTGGCCTGTTGAATAAAATCCATTACTGTAGCATGCACTGAAGGCTGTCCTTTTATACACAGAGTTCTGCTTCTGTAACTGCCCTCACATTAATTGGAGAGTGTATCTCAACACACTTGCCTGCATATCGGGTCACTCATTCAGCGTTATTGAGCGTCTATTACATGATGGGCACTATTGTAAAAGCTGAGAGATACATACACCTATGGGCAAGATAAAGCATATACCAAATATCAGAAGGTTGTACTATTTCAGGCTTGAAATTCCCAGTTTCTATATGTTCCAGGTCTACTGCAGCTCATAGTAATCTTTCCCCTTACTGAACTCTGTAAGGAGTTTCCCATCACTCATTTCTATGTGTGTTTTTCCTGTCCTGCTGTTTAACTGTGTATCTTGCTTTCACAACTAGTTTGTAAGCTCTTTACTTTCCAGGGATGTGTCATATGTTTTCTACTTTTTTGCATTGTTAAGACCAGGCACCAGGGCCCTGCCAAGAAAAGGTGCTTACACTGAAGGGTGACAAGCTCTTCATGCTTATCAAGTCCTGTCCCCAACGTACATTCTGGGCTTTTAAGATTAGACAGAGGTGACACACCCTTTCCAAGGCTTAGTGTACATATTTCTTTTTTTTTTTTTTTTTTTTTGGTTTTTCTCCGGTACCGGGAAC